AGGAAAACTGCACAGGCAACGTGTCTCTTTTGTGGCGCCTGTGTCTCTTTGCTTTGTGAATTCCAACCAAGGCACACGAGTGAATTGTGGGACGATCAATACACGTCAGAGACACACAGTGAGCACTGTCCTCACTGTGGCTCCTCAAGGCTTTATGAGGGACTTTACAGAGGAAACCGATCAGGCCAGACGGAAAGCCTGGGGTGAGGGTAAAGGTATGCTTAGGTCTAGGCTTACATTAAGCTCAGGGTAAAAATAGGTCTAGCCTGAGGCACGGTTAGGTCAAGGTTAAATTTAATTAATTAAATTAAAATAATTAATAGGTTAGCTTTAGGTTAAGGTAGGGCAGTGTTTAGTTTTAAGCTAAGCAAGGTTAGGTTTAGTTTTAGGTCAAGGTTAAGTCAATTTTATGTCTCAAAACACAACTTTATGTGTGTGTGTGTGTGTGTGTGTGTGTTTGTGAGAACATTTGCATGGCGTTTCCTACATGAATGTAAATTACCAACACTCAATGGAACAGTATAAGATCCCAGAGAGCCTCAATGCTGATACCGGCAGCACGGAGTTGTAAACCAGATTGCCCTAAAGACTGCAGGTCTAGACTCTGGGCTGCCTGAGCCACTCGGTGAAGAACTGGATCGGAACCATTCTGAGTAAAACCAAACACATTGGTACCTATGGTAACCACTACAAACCACATTACAGATACACAAGCTGTATACAGAGCTTCTGACAAACTCACAAGCTTTGTTTTCACAGGATCCCATTTTACCAGCCCGGCTCTTTGTGGGATCCATTTGGTTGCTGCTGGAAACTAACAGACAGAGACGTTGGAAACACTCTACGGGCACTTATTCCTGAAACGAAGCAACTTGACACATCACCAGGCTTCGAAATAAATACCACAGTATCTGTTTTGCAAAAATAGAATGTTCCGACGGCCGACGCACTGGACGCCCTGGCGAGCCGGAATTGGCCCGCGGGCCACCAGTTTGACATCTGTGCTCTACTGACAGTAATTCCAACGCTCCTTCTAAATGGTCTCTTATTAGTGGCTCAACAGGAATCAGGAAACATTTATTGCCAAAATATGTCAAACATACAAGGAATTTGTCTTGGCGGTTGGTGCGTGACAGTAGACAGTGTAACAATAGACAACAAGACAGCAGTGCACAAGTAATAAAATAAAGTAAAATGAAATGCTAATGCAATGGGTTAGTAGAATAAGGCTATGGGTTAGTATAAAACAAGAGAATAAAGTTAGGATTAAAAATTAAAAATATTAAAAAAGTTTAAAAATATTATAAAATAAAGTGCACTATCGAATAAGTGACAAAGTGACGAGTGAGGACAAAGTGACATGTGCAGTGTGAAGGGAGTGACCGGTGGAATGTTAAAGTCAGTCAGTGGGGGACCGGCTCTGTTGATGAGCCCGACTGCCGACGGGAAGAAACTGTTTGTGTGGCGGGAGGTCTTAGTCCTGATGGACCTCAGCCTCCTGCCAGATGGAAGGGGCACAAACAGTTTATGTCCGGGGTGAGAGGGGTCGGCTACCATCTTTTTAGCTGCTTCAGAGACCTGGAAGCGAACAAGTCCTGCAGGGACAGCAGATTGCAGCCGATCACCCTCTCTGCAGAGCGGAGGACACGCTGCAGCCTGCCCTTGTCCTTGGCTGTGGCTGCAGCGTACCAGACGCTGATGGAGGAGCAGAGGATGGACTCCATGATGGCCGTGTAGAAGTGGACCATCATCGTCTTTGGCAGGTTGAGTTTCTTCAGCTGCCTCAGGAAGAACAACCTCTGCTGAGCCTTCTTTGTGATAGAGCTGATGTTCAGCTCCCACTTGAGGTCCTGGGTGATGATGGAGCCCAGGAAATGGAAGGAATCCACAATAGTGACGGGGGAGTCACACAGGGTGATGGGGGAGGGTGGGGCTGTTCCGCCGGAAATCCACAACCATCTCCACTGTCTTTAGAGCGTTGAGCTCCAGGTTGTTCTGACTGCACCACGACACCAGATGGTCAGACTCCCACCTGTAGGCGGACTCGTCCCCACCAGAGATCAGTCCAATGAGGGTGGTGTCATCCGCAAACTTCAGGAGCTTGACGGACTGGTGACTGGAGGTGCAGCTGTTTGTGTACAGGAACGTGTTATGTCCCTATAATCTCGTCTCGTGTTTGTGTGACCACTGGTCAATGGCCAGAGACAGCTGCTTGTCCTTGTGTCATTGCCCCAGTCTGTTTAGCCCACACCCAATAACACTGAATGTGACCTGCGGACATCAGATCATTTGAATATCAGAGGGCCTATTAACAGCAGCACAATGAACCCTGCTCAAAAAGGGTCTGGGGGGGGGGGGTAGTAGTCCGGCCAACGGATGGGGCAGCACTGCCGTGCGTGTTTTTATTCCAGACCTTCTTGGGGGGGCAGAGGGTAATTTCAAAGCCCCCCTAGTATGATGGTAGGGGGAGAAGCTGTCTCACTCAAGAGGACAATAGGAGTGGACAGGAGGAGCCTAAGCTGCCACCTGATATACAGCCCCCCTTTTCTAGGTAGGAAACCCAGCAGCTTGTTTGACATAAGTCCCTGCCAACGGTCAGTAAAGCGCCTCCCTCCTCACCAACATCTGGATTTCCTGTACCTTGGATGATGTCATGGACTCTACATGGCCTGTAGTTCAGAGCTGAGATGTATAAAGTGTGGGGGGATAGTGAGGGCTCAACACGGAGACATTCTGAGACGCTTGTCTGCAGAAAAGCCGTCCAACACAAATCCAAAATGGCCTTGTGATCCCTCAGATCCAATCAGAGACGGCCTTTGACAAAGCTCCCGTCTAAATTGTTTGATGGTACTGAGAGGTCAACATAACACGCCGTGGGCATCAAACGTCATCCACATTCCAGCAGATTAAACCAACCACAGTACGGTTTAACTGATAAGCTCACACAACACCTGGGGGGAGGAACCAGGCTTTAAATGACAGCTATTGTCAGCTTTTCTGACCGCGGGGGGGAAGGGGGGGTCCAGGACAGAGAATATAGCAGCAGCTTGGGTTGAAAATGAAAAGCAATCCCTGGTGGGTGAGTGTTTTTCTGTGGAGTGAAGGCCCCCCGAGGTCCAAGGGTCAACCTGAGAGCTGCTCTGTCTCTGCTGTTAACCCTGTGAGGGCAGCTCTCACATTACACATTACACATGATAAATAATCACAAGATGAAATTACAAGTTAATTAGCCTCTTTTGGTATATATAGTTTACAGTGTTGCCTGACATTTTGTTCAAGAAATGCATTATATATTGTAAATGTATAACACTATGAATTACCTCTCACTAAATTACAATTTTATTATTGTAATCATTTTTTGGTGAAATGCGTTGATTAATAACGACAATATTGACTTGTCATCGAATTACAGCTTTATTTTGCTAACATTGTAACTCTTTCCCTCAAATGAAATAAATATATTTAGAATACAGAATTTTACTTTTTTAAATTGTCAAAGCAGATTTGTGAGATATGAGTGAAAAGCTTGCAGAAACACGTCTGTCCGTAGCGCTGCAGTAAAAGGGTCTAAAGAGGTTCCTCCTGCAAACAGAACCCACAGAGGTGGGAAGAGACAGGAAAATAACACTGAAAGGAAAACCGTTAAATACACACAAACATTTTAAAATACAGAATCTTTGAGTGTTCATTATGTAAATGAAATAGACATTACCATAAATTGAACTTGCCAGAATGCAGAAAATAAACACATTTTCTGTGTGGGGGACATTCGGATTCAATATGTGCACCCCCCAAACAAAACCTACACCCACCACGGAGCTTTGTGTCCTTGTTAAATGATGTTAAATTCAGCAGTGGACCAGTCCGAGACTCGATGAAACAGCACTTCTCTGAGCGCATCCAAGGTTTCTTCTCTGGTATTGGCAGATTTATAGTACTCTAAACTAAACTTGATATTCCTAATTATATGAGCATTACCTGTGAAATGCTTAACGCTGGACGTTGTAAAAAGCCTTTAAACCCTCCAGTGTTCCCCAGAGCTTTGGGTTGATTATAAGTTTGCTATCTGGCACTTAGTCACCAGTAGTTTGCTCACTACTCACATAGATTAAGGTCCTGAATGTGTCTGTCAGTCCATGTGGTGCCTGGTCAGCCTGCTGTATTTGGTTTAGATTACTCACTGTTAAAGAGTAAGGGAGCAAACTGCTCCATGGTTCCCATTTAGAGCCGGAGTTATCCTCTACAACTACCTCATGAAAGATTCCGCTCAAAGATGTGAAAATGAGCACAATGAATTCCCTCATTCAAGCGTCCAGTCGCAGCAAGAACGAGGCAAAGCACAGAGTGACGGCCTGCTGGGAAGTAAAGAGGAGACTCAGTGGTCAACATGTCCCGTCCACTGATGCTCAATCGCCTCCTCCGCTGAAACCAGGAGCGTGCTCATCATCTGCGTCAGCCCACACCTACACCCAGGACCCGCTGCACCTCCACTCAGGAGTTATGTAACCTGAGTCGACTCTAATGGTTTCCATTCATTTAACCCTTTAAGAAAAACAGCACATTCCAGTCAGTTTACAGAAGCAGCTTCATGGCTTTCGATTGTGTCAGATACTGTTGTCTTTCTGCTCTTTAAAAACATGGAGCTTTAACTGGGTCTTTGTCCCGTCACAGATATGAAATGGTGCTGTGATTGTATGACCGGTCCAACTGTCCCTCACACGCTTTTTATACTACGTCAGTTGCACGAAGCATTTAACACCGACACTTGTTCAGCTGTAACATTGGAGTTGGTTAAAGCCTGAAAGACGCGAGTGGGCGGCCGGTGCGTTGGTCGCCCTCTCACGCTTTTGACAAGGCGAGAGTGACAACAGGTTGTTTACAGAGAGAGTGAGATATTCAAAGGTACATGATGTAAGAACATGAGTCCACAGCCTCAGTGAGGCTGAATTAAACACAGCAAAGAAATTGCTAGCGTTAGCTAGCTAACGTAGAGATGTGTACCATTTCTACCACGCTTACGAACATGTCGGTATACTAACATTTGCTGGTTGACAGTAAATCTTTTTGTGCGCTAGCAGATGTGTAACGTTATGTACATGTATGTGTTGAAGTAAAACCCCAATCTGTGACAAGAGGAACTGAGTGATGTGATTGTTCTGTCCTGATACTGTGTGTGAGAAAGAGTATGAAAGAGTGAAACCCTCGTTTCAGCTAATGGATACGGATGAACAGTGTTCCTCAGGGTTCCGTCCTGGGTCCCCTCCTCTTCTCGCTCGGCGCTGTCAATCGCTCGCATGGTTTCTCCTACACAGCTACGCCGATGACACCCACCCAATCCTCTCACTCGGATCTCTGCCTGTCTGACTGACATCTCTCAGTGGATCAGTGTTCATTTCGTCGACGAAAACTATGATGAAAAATGTTCGTTACATGACTAAGACGTGACGAAAACGGAAAATAAAAACTATGACTAAATCTATTCTAACGAGACAACGGTGGTTGACAAAGTCACAATACTTTAATTTTAGTAGCACTTAAATGGAAACGTACCTATAGCAGAGCTTGACATTAGCACCCACCGACCCGCCAAATCCGATAAAACTATACTATACTAAAACTATAAATGTTGATAAAATGATACTGAAGCAACCAGGCATTATAAGGGACAATAGGGGACGTATCATTGTGAAAACAAAATGAATCAAAAGCTGTATGCAACCTCTTACTATGAGTTTTCCCAACTCCTGACAGACTTCTGTGTCTCTGTACTGAAACATGAATCGAGAGTAAACCGGATACTTTGTCTAAGCAAATAAAGGCTCCATGGAAAGGAAAAGCACCGCAGTGCTTTGCATGTGGACAACAAGACAACAAGGACAACAAGACAAATAACACAGTGCAGGAAAAATGACATGTTTAACTTACACATTTACAATCTAAATCTACAATATTAAATAGAATGATATAAACGTGAGAGTGTGTGAAAGTGAAGTGTACATATGGAGTGTGAAGGGATGTGTCGCCTGTCGCGATACGCAATAAATTAAATATTATCGCACAATGTAGGAAAAAGAGCACGATAAGTTTTGGTGGTGCGATGTTCATTTTACATATAAATGAACGTCACCAACATTTTAGTCGGTTGTCTGCTTCCGTGAACCCACGTGACAACTACTGACAATTACGATGAACGAGTCCGACTGGATTTAGTTACGGACATTTTGGCTTTTAGCCGAATGAGAGAAACGAGCCGATAACGTCAACGCGCCGGTATGTCGACTTTGTTTACCAACAGTGGCAACGGAAACAACACAACTAATCGGACATCTCTCCTAAAACAACAAGCATCATGAGGATGGTAGACGGTGGTCATGAGGGCTTGATACAAGGCAGGATGGATGCATTTACACACATTCTGACCTGACCGTCTGAATATCGCAGCTGAGATGGAGACTCATCAGACCAGGCAACGTTTTTCAAATCTTCTATTGTCCTAATTTTGGTGAGCCGGTGTGTTCTTAGCTCTTAGTGGCACCAAATGGCAGGAAAACCCGGGGAAGACTCAGGACACGCTGAAGGTACACGTCCAGCTGGCCTGGGAATGCTTCAGGACCCCCACGATGAGCTGGGGGGAGCGGGAGGTCTGGGTCAAGCTGCTGCCCCCGCAGCACTGCCTTTATAACGTAACACTCCTGCAGCCTGACGCTGTGATGAAGGATGCAGCAAAGTACTTCAAGTACAACAGCTTGGCAAATACACCAATACACCCCATCGACCGTAATGGCCGGACCATTACGGTCGATGGGGGGACGGAGGAGACCCTCCTGCTCTCTGCACATCCAAAGCCACTCTCTCTCTCACACGCACATAAACATGCACACACACACACACACGCACACGCCTGTAGTGCGTGAGGAGCCGTCCTGGTTGTTGATGTGCACAGAGCCGGAGGAACATGTTGTCAGATGGACTCGAAATAGGAGTGTAACTGTGTAACTGGGGAAGTGTGTTTCTCACAGAGAAAGCTGCACAGTGGGTGTGTGTGTGGGGGTGGGCATGAGTGTGTGTGTGTGGGAAGCGTGATGCTGCAGCTCTCCTCTCTCATCCCGTTACGTAACGGCCGTTGTTTCAAAGCGCTCGCTGCTCCTGCAGACACGGGCTGAGGACCCGCTGCTGCAGTGAGTCCAGCAGGCCCGTGTAGCCCAGTGGTCCTCAACGTGACCACCTTCTGCGTCACAATGACAATCTAGTGAGGGGGAACGTCAGCGCGGAGAGAAGCTACAGCAGCTCATGGTCTTCTTTCCAATCCAAGGAATCAGACTGTGCGACGCGCTCAGCAGAGGCTTCAGAAGGCTCATGGAGACCCGACCGAGACCCCTCTGAAGTACCGCGGCCCTTCACGCTTTTGCATAATAGAAGGAGACTAAAGCCAAGTTTCATTTGCATGTGGAACGTCACACTTCTCCCCTGATGGTCTTTGCTTAGCTGAAATAAAGCCGACTATAAATGTCTTTTCTCTAAACTAACCCCGGGGGACGAGCAGCCCTCGTGCTCCATGCTCGCAGCGTCCACACGCAGGTTTATACTTCTTTCCTCTTCCAACCGGGTCAAAGCTTTACAAAGCCGTCATTCGCCACCCTCATTAAATCAATTACTTCCACTTGGAGGAGCAATTATTGCTCTCAGCGAGAACTTCAGTCACACAGCAGACTGTAGTGATGAGTTTATTATTGGAAAGGTCGTCTCAGTGTGAACGCGTCAAACAACACTTTTTAATTATACTATTTTCCTTATGGTTTATTAACAGTAATGCGCTGTATTTCTAAATAAAGACATTTGTTCATTCCAACATGTTAATGAAATGAAGGAAAACCAAAGTTATTTCTAAAGGGGAGAACTCTTGTCTTGTGTCAACTGCTTGGCAGGTTATTTTTATCTGAACGGAGCAGCGGGACGTGGACCAAGATTCACAGCTCACAATATTAAACATCCAGTGATGTAACTCGCTTTCCTGAGCCCATTTCCCTGTTTTGGGGTCTCCTTTGTGTGACTGCCAGGCAAAGTTACATCATACTACATATTTATATATATATATGTATTGAGGTGCATAGAAGCAATATTGGAAATGAAATGAATACAAACGTGTTCTCCTTGTTACTCACTATCCACAGTAGACTGTTGTTGTTGATGATAATGTTGTTGACTCGGTACTTTGAGGAACAAAGAGGACTCTGTCGGATCCAAAGACCTGAAACACGCTGAGATTGGGACCAACGTGAATGAGGACGTGATGGAAAGCAGCTTGTCTTCAGGCTGGTCCTCAGGAGACAAGTGATCAGTCCACTGGACACTCTGAATGCAACAGGCTGCTCACACAGGAGGCCAGTGAGGCCGTATTGTGCCAAATGATGTGGTGGTTTGGTGGATCTCACTAAGCTCTCTGTTCTCCTTTGATTTGTTCTGTGTTCTTATGGAAAATCCTGCTTTGACTTAAACAACTGCGGATGTCTTTGTCCTCCTTATAATCCACAAATAAAAGCAACCACTCACACGCAGAGTTGATCATCTTGTATATTTGCAGCGCACCACGCGGCACCGCGCAGGAGACACAGCAACCAGGCGTAAAAAGCGCCCACACACCGGCCCGAGGGAGCTCCGCGCCCGGGGAGCAGCACCTCTCCGCCCGGGGAGCAGCACCTCTCCGCCCCGCGGAGCAGCACCTCTCCGGCCCGCGGAGCAGCACCTCCCCGCCCGGGGAGCAGCACCTCTCCGCCCCGCGGAGCAGCACCTCTCCGGCCCGGGACGCTTCCTACCTTGCAGGTTCTGCACTCGGATGTCGCTGATCTGCCCGATGAACTCCTCCCGCTCGAACCAGTCCTCCCACTCGTGTCCGGCCATCGGAGGGTTGCTGCGTGGATCCGGGCAGGAGCACCGAGAGAGCTCCGCGGCCGGAGGTGGAGGAGAAGCGGCTGCAGTCTATTGTCCGGCCGACCGACCGACAGCCACCCGGAGAACTTGCAGCGGCCGAGGGTCCACGCGGGGGGTCGCACTCAGCGGCGGGACGGAGCTGCTGTTCACTGCGGCTTTTCCTCTCCGTCACATCGCGAAGGTGGAGCGATGGAGCTCGCGAGGAAAGTCCGGGGGGAGGAGCGGAAGGAGCGGCAACACCTGGTTGGTGTTTCCGAGGTGGGATGGAGCTGATCCAGACCCCCCTCCCTCTCTCTCACTCTCTCTCTCTCTCCTCCCCCTCCATCCCTCCCTCTCTCCCTCTCCCCCCCCCCAGAGGCATCCATAGAAACATCCACTTTCAGTATCGAGTAAAAGCAAAAACATGCGCCTACAAATAGTACAGATGTACAGACAGAGACAAGAATCTGATTCAAATAAGTTAGAAATGCAAACAGAAAGGTTGTGGCTCTTAAAGGGACAGTGTGCTGCTACAATGGGGATCTATAAGCAGACCCCCCCAATCAAACCAAAATATGTCAAACATACAAGGAATTTATCTTGGCGGTTGGTGCGTGACAGTAGACAGTGTAACAATAGACAACAAGACAGCAGCGCACGAGTAATAAAGTAAAATGAAATGCTAATGCAATGGGTTAGTAGAATAAGGCTATGGGTTAGTATAAAACAAGAGAATAAAATTAAAAATTAAAAATATTAAAAAAGTTAACAAATATTGAAAAATAAAGTGCACTATCGAACAAGTGACGAGTGACGACAAAGTGACGAGTGATGAATTGCAGTTAAAGTGACATGTGCAGTATGAGGGGGAGTGACCGGTGGGATGTCAGAGTCAGTCAGTGGCCCCCCCCCCCCCCCTCTCTCACTCTCTCTCCTCCCCCTCCATCCCTCCCTCTCTCCCCCCCCCAGAGGCATCCATAGAAACATCCACTTTCAGTATCGAGTAAAAGCAAAAACATGCGCCTACGAATAGTACAGATGTACAGACAGAGACAAGTGTGACCTGTAAACAAGAATCTGATTCAAATAAGTTAGAAATGCAAACAGAAAGGTTGTGGCTCTTAAAGGGACAGTGTGCTGCTACAATGGGGATCTATAAGCAGACCCCCCCAATCAAACCAAAATATGTCAAACATACAAGGAATTTGTCTTGGCGGTTGGTGCGTGACAGTAGACAGTGTAACAATAGACAACAAGACAGCAGCGCACGAGTAATAAAGTAAAATGAAATGCTAATGCAATGGGTTAGTAGAATAAGGCTATGGGTTAGTATAAAACAAGAGAATAAAATTAAAAATTAAAAATATTAAAAAAGTTAACAAATATTAAAAAATAAAGTGCACAATCGAACAAGTGACGAGTGACGACAAAGTGACGAGTGATGAATTGCAGTTAAAGTGACATGTGCAGTATGAAGGGGAGTGACCGGTGGAATGTTATAGTCAGTCAGTGGGGGACCGGCTCTGTTGATGAAACTTGAAGAAACTGTTGGTGTGGCGGGGAGGTCTTAGTCCTGATGGACCTCAGCCTCCTGCCAGATGGAAGGGGGCACAAACAGTTTATGTCCGGGGTGAGAGGGGTCTGCTACCCATCTTTTTAGCTGACCATCATCGTCTTTGGCAGGTTGAGTTTCTTTCAGCTGCCTCCAGGAAGAGCAACCTCTGCTGAGCCTTCTTGGTGATGGAGCTGATGTTCAGCTCCCACTTGAGGTCCTGGGTGATGATGGAGCCCAGGAAACGGAAGGAGTTCACAATAGTGACGGGGGAGTCACACAGGGTGATGGGGGAGGGTGGGGCTCTGTTCCTCCTGAAATCCACAACCATCTCCACTGTCTTTAGAGCGTTGAGCTCCAGGTTGTTCTGACTGCACCACGACACCAGATGGTCAGACTCCCACCTGTAGGCGGACTCGTCCCCACCAGAGATCAGTCCAATGAGGGTGGTGTCATCCGCAAACTTCAGGAGCTTGACGGACTGGTGGCTGGAGGTGCAGCTGTTGGTGTACAGGGAGAAGAGCAGAGGGGAAAGAACGCAGCCTTGGGGGGAACCGGTGCTGATGGTCCGAGAGGCTGAGACATGTTTCCCCAGCTTCACGTGCTGCTTCCTGTCAGACAGGAAGTCTGTGATCCACTTGCAGGTGGAGTCGGGCACATGCAGCTGGGAGAGTTTGTCCTGCAGCAGAGACGGGATGATGGTGTTGAAAGCAGAGCTGAAGTCCACAAACAGGATCCTGGCGTAGGTTCCTGGGGAGTCCAGATGCTGGAGGATGTAGTGTTGACAGCATCGTCCACAGACCTGTTGGCTCTGTAGGCGAACTGCAGGGGGTCCAGGAGGGGGTCGGTGAGGGACTTCAGGTGGGACAGGACTAGCCGTTCAAAAGACTTCATGACTACAGAGGTCAGGGCGACGGGCCTGTAGTCATTGAGTCCTGTGATCCTGGGCTTCTTGGGGACAGGGATGATGGTGGAGGCCTTGAAGCAGGCTGGTACGTGGCATGTCTCCAGGGAGGTGTTGAAGATGTCAGTGAACACCGGAGACAGCTGGTCAGCACAATGCTTCAGGGAGTGAGGGGAAACGGAGTCCGATGAGCAGAAAGGGGACATAATACTACTCCTACTATATAATAAATGAAAAAATAATAATAGATGTCTCTGTTTAGGAGCTGCTGTACGTTGATGAGTGGTTCTACATCCAGTGGTTCTACATCTGGACTTCCATTGGTCTCGCTGCCATTAAGGTGGTGTATGTGTTTGATAGACTACTTGTGTTTTATTCAAAGCCCGGCTGCACATCATCAATACTCGTTCATTGGCTACAAACTGAAACCACATCGCTTCTGATGCTAAAGGTTCAGGTTCTGAATCCATATTTCTGTTACAGAGATGATCTTCTTCAGAAAGGACAGAATGACTCTAGAGGGACGTTTTCATGTCACCTGAAGGCCAACATAGTTCTGACTTTTACTCCCATATCAATAAATAATCCCTACAGAACCAGATGCGGGTTCATCCATCGCCAAAAATAGTCCAAAAGTACCGAGAGCAGCTGTTTGAGGTATTTTCTTTTCCTTAGTTGTAAGTAGGAGCCAACAGGCTCGATGGGAAGACACACAGTGTTCAAACGGACTGACAAGACGTTGTTCATAGTAAGAAGAAGGTAGAATCAATTTGATCAAGTATGTTGCGATGTGCCTTTGAGTTGTCTGGAGATCATTTACCAACCCAATCAGTTCCCAGTGGAACCAAGTCAGTTTAAAGTCCCATCAGATCATAAACGCTTTCTGAATCACACACATCTTTGGTTTGACAATGATTGATTAGGACACATGAACTATCACACTGGATTAAACTTGAATCTGCCTGTAGGAGCTGATCTTTAAACACACATCACAATATCTGGCTGCGGGGGATTTGGGTCGGTATAAAACCAGGTTTCCCCACATGAGAAGCAGCCGAGGCCGAATCGTTCTTTCATGATACGAACACGTCTGAGGCGCGCAGACCCACATCTGCATCGTTCCCATTTCACGCTGCAAAGCTGCGTTCTGTCCCGGGACGTTAGCATAGAAGCTAACCACGGTTGATGAATGACGGGAGCGCTAGCTCTCGCTAAGTCAACGTTAGCTGTGCTAACCTTGGAAATAACCAAAAGGTTTCGTCTGGGCTTTTTGAGTTGGCGTGTATGAAAAAGTGTCAAAGGTTTTTGTCACTTTTGATTTGGTCCACATTCACGTGTGAGCTGTGAAAACCCAAAAGACAAAACGTATCAGTGTCTGAGGTTTGAGACCAGCTATAATAAACAATAAACAGAATCAAATGTCTCGTCTGTTTGTCTCTCATTATTTGCTTCTTTCACTGAGTGAGAAATTCTTAATCAGCAACTAATTTGATCATCTGGGAATCATCTGAAAATAACTGCTGGTTACGGTTTTTCAAATTGAAGGATTTAGTGCTTTTCTGTTATAAGTGATGGTGAAGAGAATATCTTGCCTCAAGCTAACCAACTACGGCACTTTCCCACAATATTGATTTCCAAAACTATTTCTAGTTCAACACTAAGATGAGATGATAAAAGGAGACCACGAAGAACTGTATGCCATAAATCGAATCATCTCTCAAGAACCGACCTCCACTCTGTTTAACCCACATGGAGAAACCAAGCCGACGCACCTATAAATAAATACCGAGGAGACGGAGGCAGATTCTGCAGCTGAGCAACATTTGCATGCTGGCCCACATTAACGCAGCGATACTTCAGTGCATCTCCGCCCACACGCAGCACAGCAGAGGCCACAGATGCTACGCAACCATATCAGAGAGCAACGGCATCGTCTTCCCACTGAAGCAGCCTTAAAGCGGATCCTGATCTTTGGTGAGCTGGAATCAGAGACCCACCAGCAGATATTATCGGGACTAATCCGTTTAAAGGCCATCTGGCCCGTTTCACTGCACCTGGCTGTTCAACAAATAATATATTTAGTACTTTTTGTAAATGCATTGCTTGTTCCGGCCGTGTGAGAGGGTTCTGCTGCGCAGCCTGTGTGTGTAATCACACCCTGGCGTTGGGGTCATTGACCATGCGGTCGCTCTTTACTGTGAGTGCATTCGGCAGAGGAGGACGGGGGGACGACGGGACGGGACGGGACGAGGCCGGCGGTCTCGTTGTACGTGGCTTCAGGAGCTGCTACGTACCAACAACAGGCTGCTTTGGTTCTGAAAGCTTTTTCACACAACTCAAAAAATCGGGACACATTTAGTGAGCGTGTTCGCATTGTTTTCTTTCACAGCAACAATCTAAATGGGAATAATAAAGGATAACATTCTCACTGTGATATTTACATGCTCTACCTCGACTAAAGAAGCACTTAAAGCGCACTTAAATTGTACTTGTAACGTCACTCATCTACAGCAAATTGTAAATTGGCTTATTTGAGGAAATTGCACTTTCTTGTTTCTTGTTCTCCTGAGTTTGTACCCTATGGTTGAATGCACTTATTGTACGTCGCTTTGGATAAAAGCGTCAGCTAAATGACATGTGATGTAATGTAATCTTTACTGTACAATGTCATCTTAGTTTATTGTGTTAGCAGGCTGACGTTAGCTAATTAGCAGTAAATGCTAAGTACGGCGGAAGCAGATGGACCGTTGGATGAAGTAAGATTGACTTGATGATTAGATGTGATACCAAGTCCCTCCAGATGTTGAGATATAGGAATGAATATGCGAAAACAAATCTGATGACCTAAACAAAAATTCACAGCTTCCCATGAGCGCCAGGGCTCATCCAGTGGGGACGATTTGGACGGCAGAAGTATCCCCTTCCACCACTGCTGTGATGGTTTGTCCCTGTGTTTTGGCTTCAGTTGTTGCTTTCCTCCATCCGGCGTCATGGAGAGACGAGGCCTGGAGGTCAGTGTGGTGTCAGCTGACAGAAGTTCTTGGTCAGTTTCTGCTTTTGGGAACACATTCTGGGTGCCATTAAACCATTACAGAATGTAACACAACAGAAATATGTTCTAAATGTTCAATGTTTAATCATCAGATTTCTAAACCTAACAGCAGTCCTGGCTCATTATCTCCAGGTGTATTTACTGTGACACTAACCGCCGGCTGTAGGTCAACCTGAGGGTCTCATCCCCCCATTGAGAGAAGTCAATTGGGTTAATGTCTCGTAAACACCACAATACATTATTGACAGCATACTTTTCAAATCCTAACTAACCAATATCCAAATTGGACCACCAGCAAACACTCTTTCATAATGCTGAAGCTCTAATGTGACACAATAATCACTGTTCTCATTTGACCTCTGTTTCATTTTGCATAGTAGAAACCGGCTCATTCATTTCCCTTTCAGATCGTCACAGGCTCAGCTGAGGACTGAGGGGACTGGGACACAAAGAGGTGTTGAGTCTGTCCTCTGTTAATCCCGCTGTGCAGCTTTTACCTCCAATGACACGTATCTATTATTTTTTAGTTGTGTTTTATAATTCTACCTGTTGACAAAAGTCGCAATGAAAAACAAAACTGAATTCCTTGCATTGGTCCAAAAAGTGTCTGATGAACAAATGACATTAGCGAGGGGGTCGTCGTGGCGCGGGGGTTAGAGAAGGTGTGCTGGGAAGCACAAGGTTGTTAGTTCGATTCCAGGTGTTACATGTCGAAGTGTCATTGAGCAGGACACCTAACTCCTAATTGCCCCCTGGGCAAAATGTGAGAAAGCCACGGGTTTAAAGTAAGAATGTAATGTAATGCTTTGGATAAAAGCGTCTGCTAAATGACATGTAATGTAAAGCAAGAAGCTACGGCTCGCTGCCGGACGGATGGTCACATTTTAGTGGCATCTAGTGGTTGGTGGCAGAAAGCAGCAGACTAAACTCCCCAGATCCACTCTGATTCTACACCATCAAGTTATCAACACCAGGTCCACTAGTAGGACACGAGTGACGAGTGCAACGGGTGAATATTAACAGAGGATGCATCCAAAACGATGCACACGGTTACGCACCAGCTCCCTAGAAGGGAGGGGACCGATGACACGCCGCTGCTCAAGACCCAAGTGTATCACTACAGGGGGCATGTGGGGGTCGTGGTGCAAGTAGGACACAACAGTTTTACAGTGTATAGATTACTTTATTATTCTCTAATCACACGGACTGCAGGGAGACAAATGAAACAAACAAAAATACACAGCGTGCCGTAGCTTCGGCACGCTAACCAAAAATACAGGTGGTGGTCTGCCCAGGTCTAGCTAGTGTTCCTAGACAGAGACTCACTGCGGGTGATGTGTGCCCATGGGCCTCTAGTCTACACAACGGCTCCCTTCCCCCTGGGACAAACAGGGAAAAGAAGAACACGGTTGTTAGCAAACAAAACGGATGTAATAATAATGAAAACAGATATCAAAAACTAAAACACCCACAGAACAGTCAATCCACCCCAATGCAAATCAAATGTCTGACCATACAGTATCAGCCATGTGGAGCGAGACCCTGGGGCCTGAAGACTGTGGCCTTTTGAGCTCCAGCCAATCAGGGGGGGTAAATCCTGTCAATCAGAGAGAAGGGAGATGCACACACACAAGCAACCTCAACAAAAATGCACACACACACACACACGCATGTGCACTAAAATGAAGCTGAATAATTCAAGAGAGATTATTTAAGGCTGAAGGACAAATCACATGCAGCAGCTGATTCAGAAGAAAAGATTTTCCGTATTTTTTCCGACAGGATTTTCTGTTTATCCTGTTGGGTTTTGTTCTACACAAGTGGCCTAAAGATCCACAAATATTTGGCAGCTGGAATTTGAGCCACTGACCTGAAAAGACTTCTGTCGCTGTGGGTAAAAATAGAGACAATCCAGGGAGACAGAGACAGAAAAGATGGCCCACACGTAGCATTAGCTAGCATTAGCTTTAAATTGTGTACAGACCAAACACACAAACACAGACCAACAAGGTTTCCGGTTTACAAAACAAGGTTTATTTGCATTTTTTCCATCAGTCTTCAATCTGTACAGAGAGAGAGACCAATATAATCCGAGTTTCAGTAGTTACGGATGTTCTCACACTTGCACTAATACAAGTAGTCTAATAAAATCCCTCAATAGACCCCGGCTCACTCTGAAGACCACACACTCCTCCGAAAAACAAAAGACAATCATCATAAAGTGGAGACACAGCAGGTGATTTCCATGTCTTCATCCTGGATTAAGGCCATGTGTTTTTTCCCAATGGTTACAACCTGCAGCAACCTGTCAATCACGGTAGCCCCGCCCTAAAGCGTGTTCTGCCTTATTGTCTGTTTGACTCTCGCTGGACCATCGCTTGCTAAATGAACTTCATGCTGTAGACATTGAGACCGTACGCTCAAAGGAGGGAGGGATTAAATCAAGACAAGTAGTCCTGTCTTCTATTGGACCAGAGGAGTCTCCAGGAGATGAACCTTCACCACAGCTCCTCAGAAACCTCTGGACACTTGTCCATGTCCAGCACGCTCTTTAGACCATTAGACATGTTGAGTCGTAACCGTGTGAGCTTTGTTTTGTGCGCTGAGCGGAGCGGCGGGGCCCGTGTGTTTGATCAGCACGCCGTGGTTAGGGGCTTCCATCAGAGGGCCGCGTGTTTCTACAGGCCGTAGGGGGGGCGGCGTGTGGTTGGCAGAGCGAGCGCTCCAGATTGCGGCGCAGCTCGGTGAGAGCGGCGTGGGAGGACGGGGACACACACGTATAAGTGTGTGGACACAGTGAGAGTGTGAAGCTGTGGTAGAGACGCTACACTGTGTGCGTTCATGTACACGTCCGTCACTGGACTCGACAGATTTGCACAAACATGTTGTGCGCAGGAGGAGATATTCAGAAGATCTGCACCTGCAGGAAAATATGAAATTCTCTTTACCAAGCGAGCTAACAGGCTAGCTAGCTAGCATAAAGACGTTGGATGACAACAAAAACTCAAATGTAAAACACACAGAATCTTCAAATTCTTTATTTCGGCAGAATAAAAAACATTGGATAATAGCGAGCAACGCTCCTGAATAACATGTTTAGATTAATAAAAAAGAGGCATCTCACAAGAAGAAGCCTTTGGTTTTCACGCCTCCATCTGACACCTTTTGCATAACGAGTGGACCCAGAGACACACGCTGTAATTAAAGGAGCAGAAGTCCTTTGGACAATGGACACCAAGCAGGGTGGAGCCAGCCGATGCATCCAGGGTGGTGCAATAACAGTCAGCTGTCCTGTAGTGGACTATAGTGCTGCAGGAAGCCACACACTGAAGTACAGGAGGTTATGGCAGCGACACAAAGGCTTTAAGGCCACGGTCACATGGCCCCACGCAGCATGCGGCCTCCTCACGGAGTGGTGGTGTGGCATCGTGGTGGAGATGGTGGAGCTAATCTGAGGAGGCTGAAGTTCATCGTCTTTGTGAAGCGACACAAACTGAAACACGCTTTGAATCAGACAGGGGATTCGCTCCATTAGGTCACTGTTGCCACGGCAACCCGATAGATCAATAGCATCGACACACGGAGTGACGGTGTCTGGGGGTGGAAGGAGTGAGAGTTTACAGCTGGGACACACGCGTCACACCATGAGACCATGAGAGAAGTTGTCATGTGACTCATGTGTCATGTGATGGGGGCACGGACCCCCCCGGTACCCTGAGACGAGCTCTTGAGCTCACACACGACACAAAGACCTCCTTCTAATTACAATGTTAGAACCCGGAGCATTGGATGTGGATTCCATGAGGAAATGTGTGACGAGAGGAGGGCTGCTGCCCCCCACACACACCTTCATCGGTCAGGTGGCTTCAGAGTAAAGGTCCCGTTCTGCCAGCAGGCTCTTCATGTCAACTGATCCCTTCCTCTCTCTCACTTTGCCATTTGTCTGTTTATGTGGTTTAAATCAATGAGGAGAGAGATAGAGACCTCCTGCTCCACAGGAAGTCCTGCTGTTCATCTTGGCACCATGTTTGTGTTTGATTTAAGATTTCTACTTTCAGCTTCATTTGAAAAAGAAAACAGGCCGGCTGATTCATTGGGCACAAGCATTTAAAATATAAAGGTGCTGTAGCATACTGGCTGTACAGCACTGCTACATGACAACAGCTGACTGTCACAACAAGAGACGACGACCTGCAGCCCTGTAGCACTCGTGCTGATTCTCTGTGATGGAGCACGGGGTGGAGGAGTGGGCGGAGTTGTTGGAGAAGGAGCAGCTGTTGCGTCCATGAGGAGGAAGAGCCTAGAAACTTGAACTATTAAAGCGTGTTTTCCCTCCTCTTGTGGACGCTGCAGGAAAGACGCCCCAGGTCGGTGCTGGTGGTCCTGGAATACAAGGCGCTGTTTGGGGCTTTAAACGCTGACGGTCATTTTTAAAACTGTGACAAAACATTTTGTCCCATGAATTGCAATCATACTTATTTTTGTCATAATGATTTTTTTACACTGTAGAGAAGCATGGTTGGGTTGTCTGGTGAGAGCAAATCGCTTGTTGGCTTGGTTCTAAAATGAGATGAAGCTACTGGAGCTCCTGGCTGTGTCTCACTGGGCTGCGCATGGTGATCTGAGGCGTTTCCTACAGAAGCCCGTCCTATGTGGGGGGCGGGCCTTCGTAACGGAGCATGATGTTGAAGGAGCGCGCAAAGTTGTTGGAGAGGGAGCAGCTGTGGCCTCCGTCCATGAGGGGCAGCAGGAGGGCCAGCAGCAGCAGCGCCAGGAGCAGGAGCCACAGAAGAAGAGCCAGGCGACAGACGCGCCGACACAGGCCGGCCTTCTGCAACGACAGCAGCATCACAACACTTATTCTCATCCTCGCACAGACACAGAACCTCTGCTGTCATCTCCATTCAGCCGCCCTAATCAATGCACACACATAGTATCTCCCCAACTAGTTTCATCTCTGATCTATGATCAACCTTTGCCTGTCAGCACACAGCCAATCAGAGGAGCGGCTGGCAGCAGGCGCGCGTGTGTGTGTGTGTGTGTGTGTGTGTGTGTGTGTGTGTGTGTGTGCAGCTCCTGAAGACGTTAGCGTAGCAGCAATAGCATCTTCATTGAAGAAATAGCAAAGAACGACACCAATGTTTTTTTAATGATTAAATGATTCAAATCAGGATTTGAGTTTCGTATTTCAGATGGTTGATGCAATAATCTGGTAAAGTAAACAACAGACAACATGTCATGCGTATTGAACCCATCATTCACATGGAAGCTACTTGATGAGGGGATTTCACAAACATCATGAAAGGATGCTCCGCAGCATCGACCTCATTACTCATGAACTCATTCTCACGTTGATTGCTTCCTCCACTCAGAGAAAGAACCAACGACGTCGTGTCAGCAGATCACATGGACAACGAGTGCTTTACAGTAAATATACCCATGGACCTTTAACCACTGGAGAGAGCGTCACTATAGAAATACAGGATCTGTAGTGCCCATCCCTCGCTACCTGAAGGCCACTGTGACTGTCACCCCTCCATGTGACAGTAAGGACCACTAACGCTGCGTCATGCTTCATCTCCCTGTCATCAGGGGATTTACTCTAACAGTCCTCATACTACCATGTTTAAACCCAAAGCACCATGTAGTGAGTTTGGATCCGTCTACGACCTGGGTGATGTGTTTGGATCCTGTCTCTGCCTGACCCTTTTTGTTCTTTTGTCTTTGTCACAACGTGTGAGAATAAGCCACCTGTACCATCTGTCTCCTGAGCGTCTCCCTTTAGACGCACTCGCATGATCTACAGGTCAGTGGAGCAGCAACATGACGGGTAAAGAAGGACAAAGAAAAACTGGACTGAAAGCTACAAAACAACGCAGTGTATCATCATTGTCTTATTGCTGACAATAAGAACATCCCACAGACTAGAAGACACGGGACGGCCCAAGTGAGGCCAAATGAGGACTATGGACTAACATTCCCCAGCTTTATTATCAGTTTAACTTCCGGGGAGATGCAGGGAGGGGCCCTGTGTGCTTAAAGGTCAATGACTGAAGGAGGAGGAAGTGAAACCAGCTGGCCGTAGCTCCATATGACAAACAGCCACAGGACAGTTAAAGTTAAAGGGTTACCATAGCAACACCCATTAATGGAGACATGTCAGCTCTATGATGTACGCTGCGGCCGCCCCCCTGCGCTCTGAAGGGGGGGTGCAGTGTGACGGAGTCTGTAGCACTCGCTACCCAAATACCTCCATGAGGCTTTTATTTATAGCACAATGTGTGTGTTCACACTAACATACCTGATGATCTGCATTCAGCTATTTTGTGTTTATTGTTGATGTTAGCATGCTAAATGCTAAACCAAGACGGCAACCAGGGTAAACGCTAAAGCTGACTTATTGGTGTCATTGCTGTGTCACTTGTGATGAATGAGTTGGTACACAGTGCTGAAGGGACAAGTAGGCCAGATATATTTGGTGAATAAGCCTGATAAGGTCGCTTCTTACTTGTTGAGGCGTAGCCATCAGAGGGTTTGTCAGCTTAGAGACATGAAGCCCAACAATAGAAAAGAACGTAGTGGAGAGTGATTTGGTGACTCCTAAAACAAGCATCTGTCCTGCAGATGAAGGAAGCCTGCACAGGCCATGTGAAGAGCACAGGCTGGCTGGGGGGTCAGACTGTAATCTGCTTACTAAATGAGTGGAGGGGGGGGGTTCCACTTGCTCGATGCCGGTCCTGGTAGTCAGGTGCTCAGCCGGCTACGGCCCAAAGACTTCTGGGAAGTGTCCATGTGACAAATGAATAAAGAGCATCTGGTTCTTAAGTTGAAGACATTTGAGCAGCTCCCGATTCCCCCACTACAGGACACAATACCATGTCTGTAGTTCCTTCTTCAGCCAAACCAAGTGCATCCAGTTTTATCTTGGGGAAATAATAAAACCTAAATAAAATAAAGATGCACTTAGGAGGTCAAATGACAAAGAGGAAAGGATGGTTTGTTAACATGGTTTGGTGAAGAACTTGAGGAGAGAAGATGAGTCACTCAGGTCTGTAGTTTGTGGGTCAGTATGTCTACTAACTAGAGAGAAAAGGACCATTGTTAAATTTGGATTTAATTCTCTTAGACATTATTCTACGGGTTTGCAGTTTGGGCTTTGGTCACTTTCACTACTCTCTGATAAGTTGCTGGCTAACGGTGGCAATGAGAAAACACACTCATATAACTATATGTGCAATGCAGCTGACTTCCCACCACACAGGCGCTCTGTTAGGGTGAGCCATCGCTTTGAAAGCACTTCTCAGTCTGTTACCTTTTGCACTTTAGCTGTGGAGGCCGGCTCCTCCGGTCCGGCTTGGATTCTCTGCAGAGGCATAGAAGACGGACGGTTAGACACCTCGACGTGCTCTCTGGATCCCACTGACCCTGAACCTCACGCAGCACCTCCCAAAAACAAACCACTGTCAAAACATTTGGTTTCATTTGGATCCACCACATCTGGAGCAGAATGCCAGCCAGTGAGTGGACTGAGCAGCAGCTGCTGTACAGATGTGTGACTGTGCAAGCAGTGCTCTCTATGGTGTTACACCGCCACCTTGTGGAGGAAAGACTGTTAGTACAGTTAAAGGGGAACGCCGGGGCCGCACAGTGCAACTACACTTTCTAAAATCTGCGCTCTCATAAACAAAGTTAGTTTATGTGTGATGATGATGATGATGAAGATGATGATGATGATAATACTTTAGTTACCTTGTTGCATCCAAGCAGCTCAATTTGCAGACAAACAATGTAAGACGAGCGCGCTCCCACCAGCGTGTCTTTAACCCCCGATGCTGACAGGAAGGCTCTGCTCTCACCTTGGCCCTGGACCTGAGGTCCCCCACGTCCTTCAGTTTGGACTTGTAGAGCATCCAGCGGTAGCGGAGCTCCTCCAGGCGCACATCTTCTGCTTGTCCGGCATCGCTGGCCGGACTCTCCTGGAGCAACAGCTGGAACTGCTCGTGGCCCCGGCCCACTGCGGCCCTCAGAGCCTGCAGGGGGACACAGCAGAGGCTTCAGAGAAGTGGACTAGAACAGGACGACGACACGCCGTCTGAAACGCAACTCAAACGGCGACCACCGGAGGTCCGTGGGAAGCTGCTATCGTTCATTTCCACACCCCGTGGTCTCTAGTGGACGGACATTGTCTCGGCACGGCATAAAGGATGTGCATTCTAGAATCTTCTGCAGCAGCATGTAGCTCAGGTTGTGTTCAGCCTGCGTGTCTTTGTCCGGGTCCCTGATCCTCGGTGTGCCTTCCTATCAGTGATTACATCAGGCAAACACCGGACCACCTGCCTGTCAACAGAAACTCACGGTGAGCGTGTCCTGCTGGCTCCTGACTTCTTTGGTACTGAGAGCTTTTCCCCGGCTGCTGCAGATCCCTGAGAGCAGTTTATTCTCTTGTGACAGCCAGGCCTCGAACTCCCTCCTCCTGGACTGGTACTCTGCCGTGCCCCCCTGAAAAATACCCCAAACAACTGGTAAAGCTTCAGCCATCATGCAGGATCGACCAGGGAGCGCTGAGTGTGAGAAAGGCCTCAGCAGTGGTCTGTGCTTCTTTGTTGTGCTATCGATTTTCTTTCTTCTTCCACACAAGAGGAGGAAAATAACTCGTCTCTGGCAGGACGTAATCGAACTGTTGTCATGTTTGAATGCGTCGCATTTAAACAGCTAATCTGTCTCTGCTCTGACTGACAGGAGGGGCGATAAGGGTTTAAATGGGGCCGAAGGTCCTGTAGTCTAAAGCTAAAGCTGACAGAATAGATGTGCTCACTGGAATGGACGGTTCGCTCCGAACCAACTTATTTTTGTGTAGTTCGGTCTCAATGTCTCTCGTCTGGCAGTTGTCCTGCGGTTGGGGCAGTTTTGTTTAACTTTTTGTCAACACTGTTCCTGCTGTGGCATTCGGCCTTGACAGACAACAGGGGGACATTTCTTCTAACTTTTTTATCCTTATAGCCAATTATACGCGAGAGGTTGGATATTTCTGACACAGGGACAAAAGAAAAAATCCCTCCTGCTGAATAATCAGTAGAAACATTCTGGTTGGCTGATTAAAAGTCATTGAATACTTTTATCAGCATGAATCAGTTGAACTGATGAAATAAATGTTGAGGGTATTGAAGTACTTTTCTCAACATAGAGGAAGAACAGTCCCAAGCCTCTTATTTAGTATTCCTGTGTGTCTTTACTATGAATGGACCAGTACCGGTTGGTGCCGAGTCGGCTCCCTTCTGTACAGCATGAAGGCTCCTCCTCCCGGGCTCCGGCCTTCCGCTGCCTCCGGGGTTAGCGGCGTTGCCTCTCTGCCAGGGCTTCCAGCTGAGCCTCTCTGGCCTGCTCTGCTGCCAACTCTCCAGGCGGAAGAGTCCACTTGGTCTCCTGTGAAGGAGGGCCGGCCGTCCACGCGTTCATCCAGGCAGAGATGACCCTCACCGCGGCCCTGCGCTCCACCACGCCGCCCGGTCGCTGCCCCCTCTCCCTCCGGGCTTCTTCCCCCCGCCGCGGCGTGTCGGTGCGTCTGCTCTGTGGAGCGGTCCAGCAGCCTGGAAGACAGGGGACAGCCTATTACATGTCCATGGGTCTCTGGTAGCTGAAAGTAGTGGCAACATGCAAGAGGCGCTCCGTGGGCCAACCACGAGAAGAAGATGGTTTGAGCATCGACGAATATGAATAATGTATTACTTTGGCTTGAGAATGATTGGGCTGGAGACGTGCGGTACCTGTGGAGATTGAGACTGGTATCGTACAGAGCGAACCAGGACTCTTGGAGGCGCCGAATGTCTCGCAGAATGTGGACCCGTCCCTCCTCTGAAGTCCTCTCCAAAACGGCCTGACCCTGGACCTCCATCTGCTGCAGCTGGAGCTCCTTCTCAGGGAACTCTCCAAGTGCTCTCTGTGGACCAGGACAGTGCAGCGCAGTGGTGACCGTGGTGGAGAGGGACACAGGCCAAACAGTACACGGCTCACGCACTCTGGGATCCGAGGTAACCCTTTTCCTGAATGTGGAACCGATATACATACTGTGAAAGTAATAACATTTCTATTTTGATCTCATAACACGAGTTTGCTTTCTTGAAAGTTTTAACTTTGCTTCAAAGTGTTCAAAGTGAAGCCTCGGGTTAGTAAACTAGCACTCGGCAGGGCGACAGACATGACACCTGCTCACGGCCATTGAGAATAAACATTGCGTTCATTCAGCAGTGTGTGTGTGTGTGTGTGTGTGTGTTCTGGTGTAACAGGCAGGTCACTTCAGGAACTACACCCTGTTTAGTGCTCTGCAGCGCTCCCTGTGCCCCTGCTGGATCGGGTGACACGTTATTGCTGTGTGTGGTGAAGTGCACGTCCTCCTCTGAAGCAGCCGTTTAATGTGCAAACACTCTCCTCTCTGCGACATCCAGGTGTTCTAGGCTGAGAAGACGGGTGCTACTTTTCTGTCGTTCCTAAAGAGGAAACTTTTCTGCAGACAGAGACAGATGTTTGATATCCGTCGGAGAGCTTCAAGGAGGCCGGTGCTCCTGATCGGGGCGACAGACGCGCTTCACAATGATCCGAATGAAGGAAATGCACAGCGGAAGAACCTCCTCCTGCGGTGCTGAGGAGCTGTGCAGGTGGTTCAGGAGGAACAAAGAACCCTGGAATTCTGTCTCTGAGGTGTCCACATTAACATTGATGCCAGGTGGCTCGGAGCCGCCGGCAGTCCTACACACAACACAAATATGAAAGGGAAAAATTCACGGGTTTCTTAACAGTTTCCTATTTATCCGACGCAGCAGCTCTCACACGTTCTGTATTCGTGACACACGCAGGGTCAAAGCAAAGAAAAGTCCTGACAGAGAAGTCAATCCCACAGGAACAAAGGGAGGGTGTCAACATGCTGCCATTATAATTAACCCTGAAATGAATCAGCTGGCAGATGTGAGGTGGGAGAACACACCTCAGCTTCGTGCTGGCGGCCCTCCACGCTCCACTCTGCTGGGGGGCTGTGGAAGGACTCCAGCCTCTGCCTCATGATCATCAGCCACTTCTCCAGGTTCAGCAAGCTGTCGTGGAAGCTCTCGTGGGCTGAGATGCTCTCCTCGCTGTCGTGCACCTTCACCTGCAAACAGAAGACAGATCAGCTGCTCGGTCGGTGGTCTCCAAAAGACATGAGGACAGTCCATGCGACACGAACACGCCGATATAGGTCCCTGGTGTGTGTGTGTGCAACCGTTTAATAGAGAGAGATTAGCGTACTCTGTTCAGTACAGTGTACGGCGGATGAACATGTCCAATCTGCTCACAGGACGTTGATGGGGGTGTATTTGCATCACGGGGACCACCGTGCATGTGCGTTCATGGGTAACTGGATGTCTGGCTTGCTTTCATTTAAAGATTAAAACAATTATCACGCAGAAACGAGCCGACTGTCAACGTATTGAACGTAAATCTCTCCTTCATGTAAGTTGATTGTTCACCATCTCTGATGAAATCCACATCAAAACCTTTCTTAACTAAAGTAAAGTAAGTTTTAAGCATGTTATGATGTTTATGGAGAAAAAGTTGTTAACGAGAATTATTAGCCAGGATGATCACAACATAACATTTCTCGGCTGTTATTTCTTCCCCATAACATTAAACTATTAACTGCTTGTTAGAAACAAGGTTGGTGAGAAAGACTCAACCAATTCAATGTTCCCCGACTCCGAGCTAAAAGAGGCTTTATGTGTTGTTAAAGCACTTGGTGATGACCCTTCTGCCTCACCCTGGCGGCCTTGTGCAGGTGTTTCCACTCGGCATGGAGCCTCTCGTACTGAGCCTTGTTGCTCTGACTGGACGAGACCAGAGTCTCCAGCGCTGTGACGGGGGCCTCGCAGTCCTCCAGGTCCTTCAGGATCACCTGAACAGTTGGAAATATTTTTATAATCAACATATTTATAATGACATTGCACCACAGTCTCTGATGATGAATGAATGTAGCACTTTGACACTAAAAGCAGCCATTAACTGAAGCCAACAAGTGCCTTTCCCGCACTGCCGCAGGCGTTGGATATATGTAGATATGTGTATGAGAAGTCTGATCTCTGCACCGCGGCGATCATCTGTAACCTCGGGGGCGTTGCGTCACACGTCAACTCATCTAAATCAGCTGGAGGCGACAATAACAGCAGAGCTGGTGCTCCGGTGGACCGGTCCGGGATCAAACTCACCCTGAACTGGTCTGACTGGCTCTTCTTGGCCAGGATATCAGGCTGCAGGCCGTCGGCGGCCCCCAGCTGGTCCTGGAGAGCGGCCAGCCTGCAGCAAATCAACTCATGGGCGTCGCCAAAGTCCTTGCTCCTGGAGACTGAGCCCTGAGAGAGGCGGAGACGAATCAGTCGCGAGCATCAATCGTGTTTTCACCGACTCCGTAATGAAATGAGCTCAACTATTCATCAACACCTGCAGACACTATACCTCAAATTGAACTGCAATGTCATTATTGAGCTTTCGTGTGTTTGAACTCCCTCCAATGTGGTGTTATTTTTAGATTCACATTTAAATGTGTTGCTGGCCTCAGAGGAATTGTTGGTGTCCTTTATGTGCATCATAAAGAAAAAAATTAGGTTGTTTTTGCCTTTTTCAAAAAAGTTGATTTGACCCTCACATAACTCATCGTCTTCCCTCAAAATATAATATTTATGTTGACTTCATCTCCAGGCACAACTTGTCCTTGTGAAGACGTCTGTGCATTTCTGTCGTTGTAGAAGGTAATGAGGGACTTGAACAGGTCAACAACACTAAAAGCTGTGTCTCATTTACCTCTACACTTAAGATTCAAGTACTTTGTTTTCTTTACTCATTGCCAGTGTTAACAGCGAGTCGATATTGAGAACAAATATGAAACTTAAACCGTTCTACCTCTGATCCTTGCAGATGTTTGATGGTCATGGTGACGTGTTTCCTTGTCATAACCTCTGCTGGACTACAGCTGAGTGCATTCACTCAGAACGGCTCCATTGAAACAACCACAGTCAATATTTGTAGTGCAACGATCAGATTTTATATCACAGTAGGTTTTATTTGGTCTTTTGAGATGGTCACTGTCCAATTAAGCAATTATAGTTATACATGATTTCTGTGACTTGTCTCACTTATGACAGACGGCATGTTGGCGACTTGTTAAACCAGGCAACAGAAGGCTAAATAAGGGGACGTGCCGTCGTCAACTTGTAGATTTATTGGTCACTTTGTTTCTCTTTTTCTTGTCCCCCCCTCATTCTACCACCAACAATACCATGGGCATCACATTTGCATGGGTCTGAAACCAGCAGTGACTGCCTGGCATGAGAAATGACCTTCAGCACGGTCATGGACATTTGGATTCAGTGTGTGGTGAATGTGTAGATATTAAAGGCAGCATGTGAGTACCTGCAGCCTGCTCTTGCTCTGCAGCAGCTGAGCGTGCAGCAGCTCTCTGTTCCTCACGGCGGCCCCCAGCTCTCCCTGCAGGCTGTCGGACCCCTCGGGGCCGAACACCGAGTCCAGCAGGTGGCCCTTCACCTGCAGCAGGCTGAGGCGCTCCTGCAGCTGGGCGCTGCCCTTCAGCAGACGCTAGAACAGGAGGAGGGAAGAGAGGGAACGTGAAGCCTGCTGCTATCACACCATGTCATCTCATTCTATTCAGGCAGCCCTGAATACCAATATCAGTTTTCACTCTCATTTTCACGTCTTTGGCGTATCAGTGTTTCCCCTACTATAATATATAAATATAGTCTGTCAGCACCAGCAGACAGATTCCATATCTACTCACACATCCTGCAGAAAGCTTCTCCAGCAGCCTTTCATGCTGAACATTTGGCATGGAGTGCTGCCCCAGTAACTCTTACATGAGCTTTAGCGTTTCTTTTACACGGAGACTAGAAGTTAGAGAGTTTACATTTTTCTGATCTTTTTCAGCTTTTCATGTTTTCCCTTCTGCTTGGTGAGCCTGGACGCACATTGCATCCTGAGAAAAGATCCTCATTGTTTGAGGGAGCCAGAGAGACTCGCTGCGTTTCTGACACTGGGCTGAAGATCAGAACAGCGCTGCGAGGGAGGACATACACTGCAAAGATTCCATGGCATCACATTTTATTAATGGCAATAAATAATAAGAATGCATTTTATTTGTAACACACTTTATATTCTAAAGAATCTCACAGTGCCATAGAGCCAGTATATGGTAATAAAAATATAGTTATGAAAACTATAATAAAGTAGAAACAGCTAAGAGTGATTCAACAGAAGTTAAAACGGCTTCCTGAAGTCTTAAAAGAGTCCAGTGACTATCTGTGCTGCCCGGGTGCCAGTGAAGTGAGTGGGATGGGTGGTATCTGCTCATATATCTGGACTCTCATCAGGATCCTATCAAGCAATGTTTTAAATGTTTTGTTTTAAATTGTTGCTCATCCATCTCCCCATGACAGGCGGTGAGACATGGCATGGCTGTGGGGGGAGTCTCGATGTGGAGCTGTGTGTCATCAGCATAACAGTAGAGATGACACAACCGAGGGGGACCATGTCGGTAATAAAGAGGATGGGGCCGAGGGCCGACCCTTGAGGAACACCACAGGAGTGCAGAGTCTGATCCAATGGACCATTGAGTCCTGTGGTGGTGTGGATTGCTGTCCCAGTATCATGAAATATGTATCTGACAGAGAATAAAAACCACTGGTCTTCTGTATTCTGTGTAGTTTAGAAAGAGCTGGAGCATAGTGGAAGGGTGTTGGATTTATATTTAGGGTCACAAGAGGCTTTTGAAGGTCACCTTTACACGTTAAATGCTCAGAGCGCTTGAAAACCACCTTCTGCTTTTGGATTGTGAGAGCAAAGTAGAACAACCACAGATTACAGTCAGAGTCGATATGAGATTCTTAAAAAGGGAATACAGGCACATATATGGTGAATGGTAAAAGGACTGTTCTTGTACAGCGCTTTTCTATTCTTCTGACCACTCAAAGCGCTTTAACACTACATGACATCATTCACATCCATTCACACACTGACAGGAGAACCACACACAGTGACACCTGCCATCAGTCACTAACATCCACACACTGTAGTCGCAGCTACAGGAGCCATGTTTTAAGTGTCTTGCCCAAGGACACATGGACATGCGGGTTAGCAGAGCCTGGGATCGAACCGACAACCCTCTGATTGGAGGACGACCTGCTCCCCACTGACCCACAGTCACCCACATACTACACGGCTGTCAACATGGCGACAGCTAACAATGTGACGGAGCCAACCGACTGTAACCGAAGTAGAGAATACACACTACGCTGCTCAGGTTAACGTAGCTCAGTATTATTAACAGGCTGATATCCACCACAAAAGGATACATATATAAATATATATATTATGATTTAATGGGAGAAACTAAGCAACTCTATTAGGAGCAGAATGGAACAATCTTTTGCTTTGAGGATCCTGAACTATTCAGGGTCACCTCGATAGTCATTAGGTCAGGGGTCTCAAACTCCGCCACCCCCCCTCGTCGCCGTAATGGTCTGGCCCGCGTTCGGTCGAAGTGACCCCTGCATTACATAGTATTTATCTTTGGCAGCCCATCACTCCTATGGACACCTCTCACACAAGACATGTACACGCATTATAATGATCAAAATGAAATCTGTGTGTTTTACCTCAATGCTCTGCACCAGCATGTCGATGTGGGAGAAGTCCGTGACCTCAGCGGAGGCCTCCAGAAGCTGAGAGACCATGTGGGCCCAGTCTCTGTAGGCCACCAGCGGGTCCTGGAGAACGCTCCTCAGCCCCGACTCAGACTCTGAACACAGCCTCGTCGCTCTGCATTTCACACTGTAACGAGAACACACAACTTCACTTCCATTCACACCACTGACAAGGCGGCAATTATGGCACATTCAAATATGCGAGGTAATACTATATATTAATAATAATAAACCAAGAACAATCTAAAAAGTAAATCTTTACACAGCGAAAGGCGTGAGTTCACCGGTGTGATCAGGGTACTGAGGATGTCCCTCGTTCTACCTCCATATATCATATATCACCTGGTGACCCCGGCCACACGAGATATATGATGCCCCCGGCTGTCACAATGCCCAGAACCAGAACCTGCTTGGGTTGCTTTTAGATTTCACCCCCCATTTTGTAAAATGTAAAATAGGCAACAGCCACCGCCGCTCTGACAATATTCCTATCATAAAATGATTTGGTTTTAACAGTTGGGAAAAATATTTATGAGCCACATTCCGCATTCAAACAGTGACTTTCTCTCTCTAAGAAGGGTTGTCTGGTGAGACGTCTCACTCATATTACTCAGAGAAGCGGGGTTATGTAAATAACCTAAAGGTCTCTTTCATAATACATCGTTCGGTGTCTCACTATGGGATGTGGTTGCTCCCGTATTGCCAGACAAGCTTATCTAGCGTCCACAAACCCTCAGGAAAAAAAACTGCGTTCCAACCAGGACAGCAAAACAGCGCGTGCCAGAAACGTCCGGCATATAGAAACGGACAAGCACAGAGACTCCCCTGAATAAGGCCCAGGATGCGGCCAGGCCCCGAGTCGAGTGCGCTCGTATAAGCCAAAGTTATCGCCTCCACCTCCCAGTGGGACAGGCGCTGCTTTGTGACAGGTTTCCCCGTGTGCGGATTAGCGCAGGAGACGAACAGCGGGTCGCTCCTCCTGAAACTCCTCGTCCTATCCGTGTAAGTGCGCACTGCACGGACCCGCTCGGCCGAAAGGCGCATTGTGAAAGCCACCGAGTCCAGGGATAGTCCCAGAAAGACTATGCCCTGTGTCGGGGACAACACGCTCTTTTCCGCGTTTATCACAAAACCCAGGTCGAATAGGTGACGCACAAGAATACGTGTGTGCGCTACGGCCTCCTGTTCCGATTGTGCCAACAGCAGCCAATCGTCCAGATATGTGGCCAGGCGCATGCCCTGTCGTCTCAGCGCGGGTATTGCCGCCTCCGTGCACCGCACAAACACCCTCAGGCTTAAAGACAGACCCAAAGGGAGCACGCGGTACTCGTAACCAATCCCCTGGAAAGCAATTCTTAGATACTTTCTGTGGGGAGGGTAAATTGGGATGTGGCAATATGCGTCTTTTAGATCGACAGAAGTGAACCAATCGCCCTGTCGTACGAGGCGCAGCAGAGATGCGTGTCAGCATCCTGAACTTGTATTTCCTGAGATATTTGTTCAGAGCTCGTAGATCCAGAATAGGGTGAATACCGCTCCCCCCCCCGTTTGGGGACCAGGAAATACCTGTAAAAACCGCTCTGACACTGTGCGGGAGGTACGACACAGATTGCTCCTTCGTTCAACAGTGAGAGAATTTCCTCGAGCCGACTCTCCCTGAGCCTGAGAGTGTATCATACCGGCGAACCGGTAAACAACCCACAGATATGACACAATGTTCTACACGTGAGCCAATGCACACAGACAGCGAGTGACGGGATGTGGACTTAGTTTGTGAGAAAAGCCAGGGGGCCGGGGAGCAGTGTCTTGCTCACCTCGACATGGGACATGGAGCAGCCGGGGTTTGAACCCTGCAGTTCTCTGCTGCATGCTATTGCAGCTACGCTCTATTAGAACCACCAGTGGCCCGCGGTCCAAATGCATCACCTTGCCTGCTTTTTGTATTCTGTACAGATTATAAAGATAGGTTTTGTTCTGTGGATTTGGGGAAATAAAAGAGCATTGAGGTAAATTGAAGTGAACTAATTGAAACCTGACAAAATAGATTTTTGTGTGATGATTGAGGAAGAACTGCGAGCCTCTGTGTAACAAACTGGACAGACTTCAGCTACTGGTGAGGAGAGACAGAGACTTTTCTACATCCTCCGTTTTGGATCGATACTGGACTCCGCGCTCCAGCTGGCGGGCTTCAGCTGCTCAGAGCGGACCGCGACACGGAGCTCTCCGGCAAGACGAAGGGTGGAAGAATCTGCTTCTACTCCAACAGCAGCTGGTGCAACGACGTAACGGTGATCCTAAAACACTGTTCTCCTGATCTGGAATCCTTCATCATCAACTGTAAACCATCAGCCAAAAGCTAAAAAGATGGTAGCCGACCCCTCTCACCCCGACAAAAAAGTTTGTGCCCCTTCCATCTGGCAGGAGGCTGAGGTCCATCAGGACTAAGACCTCCCGCCACACCAACAGTTTCTTCCCGTCGGCAGTCGGGCTCATCAACAGAGCCGGTCCCCCACTGACTGACTATAACATTCCACCGGTCACTCCCCCTCATACTGCACATGCACACACTTTCACTTTTATTTGTAATGTTGTTCTTGCACTAAGTTGTCTTATCTGTCTTGTTGTCCATTGTCTTGTCTGATGTTATGCACCAACTGCCAAGTCAACTTCCTTGTACGTCTGACATATTTTGGTATGTTCCTGAATGTGTATGCTACTTGCAATGATACAAAACTGGGACATTCATATTATTTTGGGTTTTATTTGGCAGGCGGTCTTCTTGTCGTTCATTGACCACATCCTGCCTCGGACTGTGGATATGCATCAACTTGGACCGGCTCCACTGGACCCAGGCCTTGCTGTGGCTGCATAGAATACATTGGACCTGAGTATCCTTCCCTGCTGACTAACTGGGCTCGATGTTCTTCTCCACGTTTGGTAATATTTGAGTTGCGAGGCATTAGTATTACACAAATAGCTGAACAAGGAAGTTTTAACACGTGATTTGGCTAACATGGGGTCCACTAGCATTTGGCTTTTGGGGGTTTTCCAAAGCGGTAACATACCTCTGATGTTCTTTAACAACAGCCAGGACGTCATCAGAAAGGTGACGCGAGTCCTCTGAGAACCTGAAGAGCTCCTTGAGCTGGGCCTTGAGTAGTTCCACTTGGGACTCCTCCCCTGTCAGAGTGTTCCTCACATCCTGCAGGACAAGTATGGGACACAAGCAGCAAACTTGAACTCCTCCTTTAATCTTCCACGTTATTGCACAGTTTGACCGTAACAGTCAAACTTACAGTGTGAAATAAAGTTTAGCTTGTGATATTCAGGAAAACATTATTCATGCTTTCTGTTCACCGATCCCTGATAATAGAAACAGAAACAACCATCAGTGTTGAGATTGAGAGCATGTAGCATTAGCAGCAGCGCTAACTGCTAACAAACTGAGATTCAGTAGCAATATCAGCATTTCCCCTACCATAATAAGCCCCCCTTTTCATAGTACTCAAAGACACTTCATGTTAAAATCATCAAATATAAAAAGATAGAACATTAGAAACATAAAACACACCTTATTGAAGCAGTTCTGAAAAGGCGGGTTTTGATTTGTGATTTAATGTTGAAGGTCGGGTGAGTCGGATGTGTTTGGGGACAGAGTTTCGAAGGGGGGGACTATGGAGGACGCCTGAGTTTCTATAATTCTCAGTATTGGAATATTTTAACTTCAATGGCGCATTTGCAAAATAGATGAACTGGAGATGTTTACAATCCATTTCCTGTCAAACGAGTGACAGTGAGGTGGCAGCTTCGCTCGGTGGAGTCAGCATTCCAGTCACACCCAACCGAAGCCGCTCCACTACAGCAGAGACGTCCTCCCTCTATTCTCCTGCGGACTCTGTGTCTCTGTCACATTCAGTCCTCACTGCCTCACAGCGGGGCTCACACAGAGACATGGATGAGCGTCGCAGTGTGGGGGAGCCGAGTACAAGTAATGTGACTGGGACTCCTCGCAGGCGCTCATTCAGTGGAGCGACGAAAGTGATCGAGCAGCCTGAGTGACAGGCCCGCCACCTTGTGTCAGTATGCCAGGAATGTGAGATAGGTTGTAAAATACACTTCGATGGAGAAAAGAATCCAGTCATCAGTCATCATGTCAGGGCACGTAGACTGTAGAGTGATGTGTATGCAAAGAGGACAGGCAGAGAATCAATGTGTGCAACCACAGAGGAGAACGGATGCATAGAATAGAAAAAATGAGCAAGGATTCAAGGATTCAAATCGACAGCTACATCAACTCTCTGTTGACTCTAAATGTGTCTGTAGCACTGACTAAGTACCTAATATTAGTGTAGTGACAGGTTGTAAGATCCAACACTAGCCTTCTCACCTTAAAGGACATTTATTAGAATGAAAAAACAAATGTAATACTGGATTATCACTATGGATACATAAAGGTGCCCAGTGCTGAACTGTTGTAGATGGTCATGAATGGAGGTAAATGGGTTACTTTAAACTAGTAGCGTGTAAATTGACGGACCAATATTATTGGTAGAATATAACCTAATTCATTCAGTGGTATTTATCAATTTCCTTATGAGTAGAATTTGCAACGTAACTGAAGCCTTCAGATAGACGTGACAGAATAAAATATAAAATGTGACTGTGGCCTCACGGCAAGAACTCAACTTTTCTCCATTCAATCCCTCAGCAAACATCATTTTACGTAATTCAATGCAGCTGATGTTCATTCAGAGTCAAATAGAGAACCTACGGTGTATTTTTTCCACTGGCCCACCATCTGCTCCTCGGTCCGGTCAGTGTGGCCCCTCCCCTCGCGGCCCTCCTCCAGTTCCAGGTCCAGCCCCTGCAGCAGCACCCTGAGCTGGCCGATGTCGTCCCCCAGCCGCTGGCACCTGGCCACGTACTGACTGTGGGAGTCCAGGCTGGAGCGCAGGCCCTCCTCGCACTCAAACAGGCCCTGCCTCAGCCTCTGCCAGCGCAGCCGCAGCTCCTCCGCCTCCTCCATCACCACCTCCGCTCCGGAGGGAGAGGTGTTGCCCCTCACCGCCTCCGCCACTGCCTCGATGTGCTGCAGGGTCTTTTCCTCGCCGGCTATGCTGTCGTCCAGAGCCTGACACAGAAACATTACAATTCACGAATACACAACATCCTGCTTCCTCCGTTTAACAGCAGCCATTAGAGCGGAGTGACCTAGCGAAAGGGAATTCCAAAACTGTGAGCTAGAAGGAGCAATAAAAGACATTCAGAGCATCAATGAAGCAGAAAAGGGAGAGACAGAGACAACAATACGGAGAGAGACAAGATACATATACTCATGTAAAGTGTAAACCAGATGATAGTCTGTTGCAGCTGTAACATGCTACACAGAAACAACCACAACAACGGCACAAAATAAGGTAAAGTATGAAAATATAACAAGTCATATGTGTTCCTGTGCTTTACACACACTAGAATCAGCCAAGAAGAAAGACCTCAGTGTGCCGAGTGTCTCCAAAAGACACGTGGAAACCCACCACTGATCACATGGACATAATCAGATCCTACTGTTTGCATAGAAATAATGTTAATTGTATTGCAATTTTATTTTCAGTGAAAAAAAATAGTAAATTAAGTAGAAAAGTAAATTAACATACTTATTTAGGAAGAAAACTGATATTATATCAAGTTTATGTAATAAAATGAATTCAAAAGAAAGAAGGTACACCCCCTGTGGAGGGGAAGAGGGCCTTCAATGTTCCCACATCATCATCGGTCTGATCGCACTGATCTATGTAAAGGTAATGAGAGCTATTTTAGCACCGCTCAGCACAACGACAGACCCCCCTCGGACCCCCTCAGGTAAACACTGTTGGCTCTGTAACCACATTTTTAGCGATGACCAAATTGTCAACTGGTCTCTCAAAAATAAAATAACCCAAATGTAATTTTCAGAAAACTAACTAAAGCACTTTTTTCCTTATAAGCAATGCGATACAAAGAATATTTTGAATGTTTCCTGTGTTAATCAACATATGTATGACATCTTCACAGCCTGTTCAAACTATGCACACTGAGAGAGTCTCACTTGTAAGGCTTTGAGCTTGTTCTCGGCTGAATCCTCCCTCTCCACGAGGTCAGTGAGCTCTGTGGTTTTCGACAGCAGCCACGACTGGAACCTCTGAACGCAGCCTTGGTACGTCTGGTGCTCCTCCGCCGTCCTCTGAAGCAGCGACAGACGCTCCTGGCACAGCAGCACAAACACACATTACAACTTCATGCCGGTTTTCTCCTTTCAGACCGGCAGCTGTTGTCTTTAACTGTTAACTGTACTCCTGAGACCACGTCAACGTTTGAGAAAAGAATAAAGCGACTCAGTGTGAGTAGTTTTATCCCCGTGAAACCGACACAGTAGCGTGCGTTAGTCGAGGCTTTCCAGCAGAATGGTGTGCTCAAGTGAATGCTTGGTCAGATCTGAGTGACATTTGAAAGAGCTGAAAGAGCATCGCTTTGTGTAGCAGCAGGAAAGGTTTGTTATGTTTGTGTAAATGTCAATCCAACGATATCTCCGCTCTGAATGAAATGTAATGAACGGGAAACGGTTTGCCCTCTTGCAGATGCGATAACAGACACAGAGGAAATATAAAGCGCGTTGTGTGGCTGAGGGACGGGCTCGCAGTAGCTTGCCGTCAAATGAGGCCAAAGGATCACTGATTTGTTCTCACTTTGATTCAAACATGATGCAAATCCTACAAGCAAAGCCTGACACTGACACTACTCATGACTCCTTCATCCCTCATAAAACTAAACTCTTAAACTTAGACAACAATATGTGCTGGGAATGTGTGTGTGTGTGTTGTGGAGGCAAAAAACTATTCATGGTTGTTGGGTTATATCTTTTTTTACATTTGTTCTCAAGCTCTGAGACGCAGTTCCTCCTTCCCACAGAGGAAGTACTCACGCTAGTTCCTGCCTGGTTCACTCTCATTTCTGCTCACTTTCATACTTGTGCTCTCTCCTCGTGTGCTTAAGGAATTATTCAAGCATTATTCCACACGCACATTGAACCAGCTAAGCTGTGTGCATTTTCACATAAACCAATAGCAAACGCTTTGCATTTAGAGGGTTACTAGTCCATAAAAAATGCTCATTTGCATAATGGAGATGTTCAGCAAGTATTCCAACCGGTAACAATCAACAAGCAACAACAAGCTAAAGGAAATGTATTCATGCAGGTGTGTGTGTGTGAGAGTGTGTGTGTGTGTGTGTGTGTGTGTGTGTGTGTGTGTGTGTGTGTGTGTGTGTGTGTGTGTGTGTGTGTGTGTGTGTGTGTGTGTGTGTGTGTGTGTGTGTGTGTGTGTAAACCCGTCTCCATGCTTGCAAAGTTTGAGAAAACTTGCCTGGAATATAAATACAGTCATTTCCCTAAATGGCAACACTGTAGGAGAGGGGCTCACCATGACTAAATGGCATGATGCTACTGTGGCTACACCTGTTGTCCCGGCCTTGAGTATTTGTCCATCTTCCCACGTAGGTGAGTGTGACCGCATGAGCTCCTCACCTCAGCTCTGTCTCTGACATCGCTGTAGGCTTCCGCAGCCGCTCCTGGGCCTGGGGCTCCACACTGGGGTCCTGGGTCCTGTTGTGCAGCGCGGCCGGCCTCGTCCAGCAGCCTCTCCAGCAGTGCCGCCTGGCCGTGGATGTCGCTCACCACCACCCTCTGCTGGTCCACCTGCCAGAGCTTCTCCTTCGCCCCCAGCTGCAGCTCCACCACAACATCGAGGCTGCGCTGCCGGCTCGTCAGCCACAGCTCAAACTCCTCGTGGGCCTTCAGGTACTCGCTCCAGTGGAGCCACACCCACTCTATGCGACTGGGTTCAGACACATGAGGAAGAGTAAGTGCGCAGCACCCACCACCCCGTTCCCCCTCAGTTAACACTGTTAGCTCTCCACCGCGGTCAACTCTGCACGCATGTTCTCTATCATTGTAAACTCAACAGCTTTAGGTTTTTGGACTCTTGGCTGGACAAATCAAGGGACTTCTAATGGTTGGGCTCTAGGACAGTGGTGGACGTTCTATACTTCAATGTGACATATGAGTATTTCATACACTGCTGATTTTGCAGGAGTGTGTCGTGTTTTAATACTTGTTCTCCCCTCTGGATTGTAGCATCACCAGGATAGACAAACAATGATCTAGATACGATTTGGGGAAGCCCTGCAGTTTAGCCAGATACTGTAGTCGGCATGTTGATACCCAACCAGGGGAAGAGTACCTGCAGACACACATCCAAAGCTCTAAACAGATCACTTATGGCTTAAGTGAGGCGGCCAAAGAGACCTCGGGCAGACTGACCTGGTGAGTCCCATAACTACCCGTCACAAACACACACACACACACACACACTCGCGGGCGCGGCAGGGTATCACCTGTGACAGTGGATGATGTAGGTGGTGGTCTCCTCCCACAGGTTCTTCAGGTCTTTGAGCTTGGTGTGGGTGTGGTTCCTCAGTTCATCGTCTCCGTTTTGCAAAAGGTTGTCAGCTGCCGCCAGCGCCATGTCCATCTTCACACGACCCTCATGCTCCGATTGATGGATCTTCTACACATTCAGTGGAGCACGGAGAATACAGCTGTAGTCAATATGAAAGGTAAACAAGGAAGTACTGTATACACGTAACATAAAGCACCTAATGTGGTAAGAGAGTACTTTCTCACCCGATGTGTGTCATTGCAAAGTACTTATCTGACACAGCAGAACATTTGTTTCATTTTCATCATGTATGAATTAAAGAAGCATCTTCCAGGAGCAAAGAAATCCCAAAGAACTCTACACTTAACCATGTGATATGTTTTAACCAGTTCATGTTTCATTCCGATAACACACAGAAACGTGAATAAAGTGTAATCTCATCACCATAAACTATAATACTTTCAATATGTTTATTTATGGAAATTGTAGGATAAGGATATAATCATTAAATATGGTATTCAGAGTTGTTGAGAGTGTCATGAGTCCGTTTCCATGACTTCTTAATTTGCTTGTATAGCTGCTAAATTGTACGTAGACATTGGTCCTGATACAGGCGATCCTCAGATGTACTAAAGGTAGCAGCATCTCACCTCCGTCTCCCTGAGTCGGCCCTGCAGGGCCTCCAGGGGCCCTTGGGTGTTGTCATTGGCCTTCAGCCTCTTCTGGATGGCCCTCATCCAGGAGAGCGCCGCTTCCAGGCTCTCGGTGAACTCCTGCTGCTCCTGCTGCGTCATGGCCAGTCCTCACGCTGACGAGAAGGACAGAAGGAAGCTTCTGCATCAGCAGGCAACTCACATTACATTACAGGTCATTTAGCAGACGCTTTTATCCAAAGCGACTTACATTACACTTTTAAACCCATGGCTTTTTCACATTTTTGCCTGGGGAGCAATTAGGGGTTAGGTGTCTTGCTCAGGGACACTTCGACATGGGACATGGGACAGCCTGGAATCGAACCAACAACCTTGTGCTTCCCAGCACACCTTCTCTAACCACTGCGCCACGACGACCCGTTGAAAAGGAACTCCACACATTTTATTTTGAAGGAAAAACACAACGAAACACGTAAAGCCTGGGTTAGAAACAGAATGTGTGCAATTTGAAAGGTTATGAGCATTTACAAAGTAGGCTAATGAGGACTTCCTAATGGTGGCCTCATGGGAAATGTAGGATCCAGTGTTAAGTGGAACTTGTCCCTAACAGTGCCAATACATATGCAGTGGAGCGGGACATATAGTTACAACCAGGGCCGCACGGTACACCAGCTCTAACAACAATATATCGGTTTAAAATGACGTTGCTCTTCGGCAGACGGACAATTTTATTTTAACCCGTTATGAAGGAGCTCAGCGGCCGGAGCTACTTGTCTTACGTGTGTAGAGATCGAGTCATGGTGATAACTCTATAACAACAATGAATAAGCCACAACAAACACTCTTTAACAGGGTAAAACACCACGACACAACAGCTGGTGACACACAAACAATTAGTAACACTAATCATTGTACATTTAACGGACTGCATGCTGTACAGCTCACAACAACAAGTAACTCTCACAGGAGGAACAACGAGAGACACAACTTCAGCCCAACAGAGGAGCCGCGTCTGTTTGGAGGGTTTTTGGTTTGGGAAAATCCGACGTTAGATTAGAAAAAGATTTATTGCAAAGTCTGTCGAGCCTTTGGTGGCAACACTAGCAGCCACAACAAGCTAACACGCTAACACGCCGGCTAGTTGTGAGCTGGTTGTCAGCAAGCGTCGAACAGCTGTTCAGGGAGCGCGGTCCGTCTCGG